TGTGGCACAATTGGACCATAAAGTGGTCCAGATAGTTTTGATAAATGACTAAATTTGATAAAAATGTATCTTACTCTGTTCATTAATTTCTAACATCCCACCCACCTCAACTTGTCATACTAAAATTTGCATTTTAATTGTTCTCTCTGGCCATTCGGATGGCTGAAAGGCAAACTGTTTTGTATAAACCTTTTCATCTTCCTCTGTTTATATTTAATGTGAGTCTGATTTTACGAGGAAGGGTGGAGAGCATGGTGAAAAGTAACTTGATAGGTTCATGTTTGCTTCCTGGACTACTCTGTCTTAGGTTTTAGTCTCAAGAAGTCATTTCTACAGTCTATTCAGATTGTCCAGGTCTGACTCTGTGCTCTTGTCAAGGATAATAACATATTTTATTGGTGCTTTAGCAACTTTGCAGAAATTATTGGAAATTACATAGCTGCTTACAGTTTTGATACCTGGAGGTCACAGGAAGTTTATGAGAGTTAAGATGGAATAAGTGATGAGATAAAGGCTGGGTTAGAAAAGTGATTACAACTGGGAACTTGCTAATCACTGACCTCTATAGTGATCCTCTGGTTTATTACTAATCTCACTCACACTTGGCATTTTCCTATGCTTCAGCCTCATCTTTCATAGCTGTGTGAGTAATTTGGCATAGAGTGAACAAGAGAAGGGCATAGAGAGTCCAGCAGCTGTGCTTGTTGGCACTAGATATTTAAATATCTTCAATGTAGCCAGCAGTGTGCTTGGCACAAGTGTTAGCCAATAATACTTAAACAAATTGTTGCAAAGAAAATAGGCAGGCATTTATGTTTAAAAAAAACAAAACAACAACAACAAAAAAAGCCTTTCTCTCTTCTTTCCTTTAAAAAATAGTCTGTTTGTTTTTTTTTCTCCTGTAAGTTTGAACAGATTGCTACCAAAATGTAGTCTGTAATTCTAAAGGTTAGTATTGGCCTAGGTTCTTTCTTACAAGAATTTCCAAGTACATTATAACCATTAATTAAACTGCAGGCGTGTGTGGGGTGCATGTTACTGAGTTGATTTTTCTAAGAGTGAGTGAGACCACTAATGCTAAGGGACTTTTAACTGCCCAGTTCACTCAGTGAGAGAGAGTCAAGAGCCAGAGATGAATTTAGTAATCAGAATTACTAGGTCTCTGCTCTGATATACCCAATGGCATTACAGGTTTGCCCACTTTGTAGGATGTTATTTTATGTTTCTCCAAGTGGTTAGTATGATTCAAATTTTAGTAAACCTTTGGTAGTATTCACACACATACACACACACACACACACACACACACACACACACACACACAAAATAGAGCGGGGGCGGAGAAAGGAAAAGCTTCTCTGAACTTAGGATAAAAAATGAGTTTCAAAGGCAAAGGAGGCTAAAGACTGTTCATAGAACTGTGATGAAATTTAGATTTGTATACAAATATTTAGATTTGCCTGTATAAGGATTTCATATTGTTTCTCTGAAAACTAAATATGGTAAAGCTTTCATGATTTGTTTATTAAAATATATCATTTTGAAATATAGTAAAGTTGACCTAGTAACTTTTTTGGAACACCCAGGAATTCTTTTTTTAGGTTAAGCCTTTATTGTATTAACAAACAAACAAACAAACAAACAAAAGAAAACAGTCTCATGCTATCCACTTAAAATGTAGCACATGGATTTTTTTATATAATAGATTGTGAATTTCAGTTAATGAATGCAAATCAATATGTCTTACAAAGATGAACATTGAAGTAATATTAGCTATCAGATAAATAGGGAAACTGGTCTAATTGTGCTGTTACTCATGAAGTCAATAATACTTTCTTAAATAGTATATAATTCATTGAAAGTAATATATTTTAGTTTGCAGGAAATTTTCAGGTAGTCACTATACTGCTGCAGAAATAAATACTGAGCTAGCTATATCTTCCAGAATATCTCTGTCTGGCCATTTTTTAAAAATATTTTATTGATTTCGTATAGAGAGGAAGGGAGAGAGAGAGTTAGAAACATCGATGAGAGAGAGTCATCCATCAGCTGCCTCTTGCACACCCCCTACCAGGGATATGCCCGCAACCTAGGTACATGCCCTTGACGGAATCGAACCCGGGACCCTTCAGTCCCCAAGCCGATGCTCTATTCATTGAGCCAAACAGGTTTTGGCTGTCTGGCCATTTTTTCATAAAAACATTATTTTGAATCAGTAGCAAAAGAGCACATATTATCACGAGAGTATTATAGGGTAGGTTTCTCCAGCCAATAGATTGAGGTCTATAGAAAAGACTGTCTTACTAGTATATGTGAGTGAAAATATAACAGTCCTTAAGTTGTTACTTAACTTTAAGTCTTTAGTAGTAGTTTGAATAATGTTTCAGGAAAAGGAATTTGCCAAGTAGAAAGGGCTTAGTGTGTTTTTCAACCAAAAATTAGTTGTTAGTACACTGTGGTGACTGACAAACCATTGATAGAGCTGTTTTTTGTTGTTGTTGTTGTTTTTCTTTATAGTACTGGGTTTGTTTAAATGTTAATGTAGTCTCCCAATTCTGTTCTGCCAAAGATATGAGACATGATTATTTTTAACTGAAGGGAAGAAACTGTTAATAATAGCTGTCAAATTTGTATGGAGATAATCTTATAAAGTGAACTTTATTTTCTCAAAGAAACAATAAGAATAGTTGGGGGGTAATATTTCTGATCAAGATTTGGCATCAACTCAGTTCTTCTCATAGTAGGTCATAAAAGCAAAGAGGCAAAAATTATAAAACTTTCTAGTCATTTAAAATCTTAAATTATGACCTAGGTACTGTACAATTGGTTTTTATGAGGTATCCAAGGCAGCATTTTCTTAATGATTTGCTTATTTTTAATACCTCATAAACTTACTTAATTTATTTAATTGATAAGGTAATACCTCCAAACCGTAAATATAGTTTTTCTTTATTTTTTCCCAGTAGTCTCCCTGTCAGTCTTTCTGAGTTGGCATTTTCCCTTCAGTTTCTGCCATCTTCTTGGTCCAGCAGGGTTCCTGATCCATTTTGATAAGACATGGGGAGGAAAATGTGTCAAAATTGCAAACAATCTTTTTAATAATTTTGTGAGGTCAGATTCCAAGAGTAAAAGAGTAGTGTCCAAAATCCCAAGATATCACCTTGACTCTTAAAAGAATTCTTAGATATAAAGGATATATCCTTAAACAGTTATCATATTTTTTTATTTCAGATGTATATTTTTCAAAGTAAAATTCTTTATGTAGAACTTATTTATGGTGAGAATGTGAGGCCAATAGATCACATTAATTAACCTGTTGTCATAAATCTGCATTTTTGTATTATCGTTACCTGAACATGTGCTTCTTCTGTAATAGTGCTTCTTAAGACGTATGCTGTAATAATCCCAATGGGCTCAGAATTGTACCTTTAATTATTAATGTATTTTCTAATAACTACCTTGTTGATACAATAATTGTTTGATATACCTAAAGTGCAGTAGGTGTCAAATTTAGGGTTGTAAGCTTTCTACATGAATTGGCCACTGTGGCATGTCTTACATTTTTATTTTATGACAGTCCATATGTCTTTTTTTTTTTTATCTACTATATCAGTAGACAATTTTGACAATCCATGTATGTGTGGAATTTTTTAAATAAATAAACTGCATTTTTGTACAATCATAGGCTAATAACTAGTACAGTATACAATTATGGTAAAGTTCATGTAACCTCAATATTTAGGGTAACTTGTCAGATTTAATTATGTTGTTACTTTTACTTTGGGATGGAGAACAAGAATTAGTCTGCCATGTCATTGTTTGTGTCTTCTTTGATATTAACACTAAACTGTGATCCCTGCAGAAATCTTATTAAGCAACATGTCTGTTTGTCAGGGACTGTTTAGTTAATTATATAAAATTCTACATATGACTCACTTTCCTGAACATACTTAAATTCCATTGTTTTAAAAAGCAAATGAGTCAGAACACTGCTGTTAATCATTAGTATTGTGAGACATCTAATCTCCCTCTAGAGCTGGCCCATACCATTCCTGACACTTGGCCATTTGACTTTTGAAAGACAGATATAGTCCTAACAGGAATTCTTAACATTTCTGGGAAGAATATAAATTGGCATGATTACTTCAGAGAATAGTAAGGGAAAGTTGAAAGTGTACATCTTTTAACCCAGCAGTTCCATTTCTTTGTGTCTATTCTGGAGAAACTCTTATGTGTATGTATAACACTTGTGCAAGGATATTTGTTTCAGCACTCTTCATGATAACAAAAAGGTGAAAATAATCTATTTTTCAGTAGAAGAATAGACCAACTCTGACTTTATTGTATGGTGTGACATTTTATAACTGAATGAATGAACTGGATGTCTGCTAACATATATCTCAAAAATATAATATTGCACAAAAATGCAAATTTCAAAACTTGATACCATGTAATCTCATCTGTTTAAATGTATTAAACACAAACAGTGATGTATATTGCTTGAGTGAATATATATATTTAAAAGTTTAAAATATACATGGGAATCATGTACACCAACTTTATGATAATGGTTACCTTGGGGCCAGGGGTGAGATTTGAGCTGTCTTATACTGTTTTAATTTCTGAAAGACAGAAGGAGAGAGGGAGAAATGTTCAATCTGAAGCAAATAAGGGAAAAAGTAATTCTCACTAGTGAGTACATGTATAATACTGTTGACTACATTGACTACATAGATGTCCATTCTTTTGAATATTTTTTAATATTTTACAATGAAAGAAAGCATTTAATAAAATATATGCTATTACATGTAGAAAGTCAGGATTTGACTGTTAAGCTTACTGGAATGATAGTAAGTGCTTAAAATTTTACTTATTGGATTTTATCTTCTTGTTTCTAATTTTCTGTACTTCCAGATCACATTATTATCATGAATGGTCTAGAAGTTGAATTCTGTCAACAAATGAGGGTTTTATATAAAGTTATTGTCTTTGTTTTATAGGAAAAACATCAGAGAGAGGCTCATTTTCCCTGTACAGCAGAGACACTGGATTACCAGGCTGTCAAGTAAGTTTAATAATTACAAAGGCTGTGAGATCATTTTTAATACATAAATAAATGTTCTAATGGAAGATGTAAAAATGTATTCAATTTATTTTACCATTATTTGTGTTTTTAATTTGTGACTGTGTTGTGTTTTTGGCAAATAAACATATTTTTTTGTGCTCCCCCTGCTTAAAATGGTTTCCATTCCCCAATTCATCAAACAGCCTTTCTCTAGCATCACAGATTTTTAAAACTAATATTCATTTTAACTGGAAGCAGCATGGTCATTATCTTCCTACCTCTTTCCAAAATGCTTATAGTTTCTGAAAATGATTTTTGCATATTTCCTCATAAAAAGAAAGCTACTAATGCATTACATGAAGAACATATAGTTGCTCTGTGTAGCTTGAAAACCCAGTGTTAATTTTATTAACATTGGAAATATTTTCATTTCAGTCCTACATCTAATAAAATTTTACACTTTCTAGAGTCTCCTTAGATGAAAATTTTTTTTCAGTTCTTGCACATTCCCTAGCATGTTTTGTATCAAATAATGGTCAACTTCTCAGCTCTTCCCCATGTCTTTAGACTGAGAATCCTGAACTCAGTTCACTACAGATTCCCATCAGAATCAAGCCAAAAGGTTTAGAAAGGAAAGGCAGGATATGTTCAATTTGTTTTCTGCTGTGTGCATGCAGATCCACCCTAATTTCATACGTGGGCAGGTGAGCCAATTTTACTAACAATATTACTCTATTTCATACACATCCCATAGTTGTGCCATTCAGAGTCAGAAGACTTAAGTTCAATTCCAATCTCTACAAGTTAGAGCCTATGGTTATAAGAAATATCATTTAACCTTAAATCCTATTTCTTCATTGATCTCCTCATTTGAAAAATAGAATTAGCATTTTTGCTTCCATGTACATTTTACAAAGTAAATGAATATTTTTCAGTTTTCAGCTCATAACCCACAAACAAAAGCTATTTGAGCCCTTAATATTATTTTTAATAGACCAAAAACTTTGAGAGCCACTTGTGTAATGTTCACATTACTGCTAAACTTAACAAAAAAGCTATTGCAAGCTTTTAAAAACTACAGCTGCATCCAATAAATCGTAGTTAATGCCTGTATTAACAAGTTTGAATACTCTCTTGGCAAAGGTATTGCTGTTTAGTTAAAAACAGTGGTAATCTCTATTTAAATAATTCACCAATTTCACCAAGATGAATCTTAACAGTTTCTGCCAAGGATTAATGTGTGTTTATACCAGATTTAATTCTCATATACAAAACAAACAAACATTTATTTTAGCCTTGGCCAGGTGGCTCAGTTGGTGGTAGTGTTGGCCTATACACCTAGGTTTCTGGTTTGATCCCCTGTCAGGGCACTTACAGAGGCAACCAACTGATGCTCCCTCCCTCCCTTCCTCCGCCTAATATATCCTTAGGTGAGGATTTAAAAAACAACAAAACACATTTATTTTAAATATATGTGCATAGAACTGTAATAACAATTGCTACCACTTACTATTGAGCACTAACCCCACAACATGAACAGATTTAATATTTTAACAATACTCATTTGCAGATAAGTAAATGGTGTTAGGTAATTTGCTTAAGGCCATACATTTATCAAGTGGTAAACATAAACTCATGCTTGATGTTTTTAACTATAATGTAGCTATACTTTATCATAAGAATCCCTTAGATTCCTAGTCTGTCCCCATACCATCCTTCCATTTTAACCTGTTTGATCCAGGAGGGGCCTGGGAATTTGTATTTTTTAATAAGTGTCCCAAGTGATCTAATGGACATGGGTGGGGGATATGCTTTGAGAAACCTATTCCTCTGTATACATTAAGTATAAACACATAAGGAGAATGAAAAAAGGAGAAACTTTAAGATTGCTGTTTAACAGTTGTTTATAACATATTAGAGAGATTAGGTAGGCCTGTGTGGAAAAAATAAGGTTACTATAATGTATAAAATATAATATTTCTATATATAAGAAAATGTAAATGTATTCAAGTGAGGGAAAGATTTGTTTATGAATTCACAGAAGCAGTGCATGAGTCCCAAAGAGGAAGCCCAGAATTCAGCCCAGAGGAAGGAAGATTATACTGCAGCTAGAACAAATGCCCTCACTGGAAATGAGGACTCTGAAAACCAGCACAGGGATTCCTTACTGTGGAAGGAACGGTGGCTTTGTTATTTATGTTTGCTACCTACCTCTGACTATGCTGCATTTTGTAGGAGAAATTATTGTGGATGGCACCAACTGATTTGAGTCCTAAGTAGTAAGCTCAGGAAATTCAATAGTTAAAAGAGGTATAGCACACCCAAAAAGTACCTGTATTCCAAACAGTATTTATTATAATGGGTCAGAGAAGAAAAAAACTAATTGGTTGCCATTTTGTCTTACCTTTTCACAAATTACATTAACAGTTTTAACCATACAATGATGATACAAGAAAATATAAATAATGACTAAAAAATTATATCTAACACCACTTAGAAATCATTTTCCTCAACAAAATCCCCCCAAGGAACATTAACTCTGCTATTAATGTACATAAAATGCTGCTGACATACTATAAAATTCAGGCTAATTTAATAATGCCTGATGGGCCTTACTTCATCTTAAGATGATGTAATAATATGTTGCTAAATGAATCTCATATTACCTTCATGGCAATCATATAACTGATGAGCCATTAAAAGGAAACTGGGCTGGCGGTATTACTGGAAGTACTGATAGATCATTCTGCAATTGAATTTTTTAAAATTGATTCAGCACAGAGCATAGAAGCCAACATTTTTATTAATAACTAGAGGCTCAATGCATAAAATTCATGCCCAGGGATCGGGGTGTCCCTCAGCCCAGCTTGCACCCTCTCCAGTCTGGGACCCCTCAAGGGATGTCCGACTGAGATCAGGCCTAAATGGGCAGTTGGATACCCCTCTCACAATCCAGGACTGCTTGCTCCCAACTGCTCACCTGCCTCTGCCTGATTGCCCATAACTGCTGCTGCCTGCCAGCCTGATCACCCCCTAACCACTTCCCTGCCAGCCTGATTGATGCTTAACTGCTCCCCTGCTGGCCCAGTCACCCCTAACTGCCCTCCCCTGCCAGCCTGATTGCCCCTAACTTCCCTCCCCTGCAGGCCTGATTCTCCCTAACTACCCTCCCTTGCAGGCCTGGTCACCCCTAACTGCCCTCTTCTGCCTACCCAATTGGCCCTAACTGCCCTACACTGCCGACCTGTTGCTCCTAACTGTCCTCCCCTGCAGGTCTGGTTACCCCCAAATGCCCTCCCTTGCAGGGTTGGTCCATCCCACCTGCCGCCCCCTGCTGGCCATCTTGTGGTTGCCATCTTGTGTCTACATGGGGGCGACCATCTTTGACTACATGGGGTTAGCCATCTTGTGTGTTGGAGTGATTGTCAATTTGCATATTAGGCTTTTATTATATAGGATAGGTATAATACTTTCAAAACTGCAATAAACTGAAAAATCGTTTTATCATTACAATAGTTTCTCATTGAGACCTCTTAAGTATTTAAGTAGTTTGTATATGTTTATTCAATGTGTTTAAACCTAGAAAAAGGTCTTGTGTTTTTTTTTTCCAAAGAGATTTAAGTTTCATCAGAGTTCAGATAGTTTATCCTTGCGAAAATTACAGTTAACTTTAAAAACTCAATTAACATTTAGTTTGGAAATTTACCCCATACCATTTGTTTCTTTACCATCCTCTTTTTCTATTTTAGCCAGTCTTATATGCAGACATTAGATAATGATAAAATGATGAGTCAGTACATCAGGAGAACATTAATAAATGTGTATATACCTAGTAACAGAGCTTCAAAATAAATGAAGCCAAAATTGACAGAATTAAAGAGAGAAATAAACAAATTCCAAGTTATAATTATAGATTTGAATAAATCAGCAGTTGCCAGAATAAGTAGACAAAAACTTAGAACTAAATGAACTGTCAACTACCTTGATCTAATTGATATTTTATAGAACTCTATTCCCAACAACTGAAGAATATAAATTATTCTCAAGGGCATATGTTACATTCAACAGAATTTAACCATATGCTAGTTTATAGAATTAGTGTCGATATATTGAAAAGTTTTGAAATCCCAAAATAATTAAATGAGACATCAGTAAGATATCTAGAATAACAAAATTCTGGAATTTAAAAGCCCATGTCCAAATAACGTATGGTCCTAAAAAGGAAATCACAAGAGAATTTCAAAGGTAATTTTAACTGAATTATAATAAAATGTTATATAACAAAATTTGTTGGTGCAGCTAAGGCAGTGCTCAGAAGAAAAGGTATAGCATTAAATGCTTGTATTTACAAAGCAGTTCTATAGTGAATGACCTGAGGTTCTGCTATAAGAAGTTAGAAAAGGAAACACAAAATAAGTAGAATGGAGAAAATAACACAAATAAAAGCAGAAACCAATGTAATATTATACACATAATAGAAAAATTAACAAAGCCAAAATGTGATTAAAAAGATCTATAAAATTAATAACTTCTAGCTAGACTGATTAAGACAAAAGAGTATTGGAAAGAGGGGGAAAGAACCCACATTACCAGTAGAATGGAAGAGAGGTTTATTTCAAACACTTTCCCACAAAGAAAACTTGAGAGTCATATGGTTTCACTGGTGAATTCTTCCAAATGCTTAAGAGGGGAGAAAACAAACAATTTTATACATACTGTATTCAAAAACAGAGGAAGAGGGAACACCTTGTAGCTCCTTTTATGAGGTGAGCAACAACTCATTTTTTATACCAGAAAAATGAAAGTTTGGCTTACCATTTCAAAATCAGTAATTCATTTTACCACATTAACAGAATTAATAAAATAATATTTTTCCATAGATGTAGAAAAAATATTTGACAAATTCAAATATCATAATGAAATCTCTCAACAAATAAAGCATAGAAAACAGCTTTCTTAGTTTGATCAGTCAATCATGGAAGGTCTATAGCTGAGAGTTT